TTATTAAGTTCCTAGACTATCTAGATTACTCATAAAGTAATTCGGCTCGTAATATCATTCCACAATTTCCCATATATAGGGTAAGTTTCAATCTAAATGAGAGTTTATATGAGCATCAATAGACTTTCGTCACACTCGCCATCTAAATCTCCCTATCCAAATTCTAAAGGGTCTTAACTCGGTTCATAGTTTTTTCGGGCTTTTTTTTATCATGTGTGTGTACTAACACAAAATAAATATATCCAACGTAGTTCATAATATGCATGAAAAAGAATACAAAAATTTAAATACATGAAAATAAATTATATAAAGTAAATGACTTGGAATTAAATAAACAATAAATACTTGGAAGGTAAATAACTTAAAGATAAATGGAAAATACAACTATATGAGATAAATTTAGCAAAAAGACTAAGCCTATGGGCTAACTCCGAATCCCTAATAGAGTTGTCATGCTTGTCATTACATAATATTTACAAGACTTCCAAAAATTATTTTATGATTGAAGGGAAAAAGAATTAAGAAAGGTTTTGGAGTCACCACCTAGAATTGAAAAGAATTAGGAAACCTAAAGAAAGGCATTGGATTTAGAGATTCTAGGTAAGGAGTTAGTTATATCTTTGGAAATATAACAATCACCTAAAGCCACCCTTTTTGAGAAAAGGTATCAAGTTTGGTTTAATCCTAAAAATATCTCCTAAGAATTATGTTTGCTAAATTATTTTCTAAGTCTATTTTAAAATTTATTTATCATCTAAGTCAAATTAATTTTTATTTTTTTATTATGGTATCATATTAAATTGATGTCGAGCTCCAAAATTGAGAGCCTCGTTAATTTAGCATCAAATCTAATTATATCCCGATATGAACGACACATTAAGAAAAGACCTAATAGCTAAAGGTGTTTAAAATTGATATGTATTTATCCTAGCTAATTTTTTTCTCCTTTCTTTTTTTATTTTTATTTAGGTTTCAAGACTAACATTTTTCTATATTAAATAGAGACTTGTTAGCTCCACTTCATTAATCTAAAATTCATTTTTTATTAATTATAACCAAAATTCTATATAAAATTTTCTTTGGTCTTTAGAATTTAGGAGACTCGACCATTCCATATCTTACAAGATAAATGCAACAACAATAAAAATAAATTTAAATAAAATTCCAAAAAAAAAAATGTTAAAATTCTAAAATTTTAAACATAACTCAAGGATAGGTATAATATGATCATATGAAAATAAAAGAATCTAAAAACATCTCACATGTCAAACATGTAAAACACTACAACAACCAATTTCGAGTTTGACATAATATTCGTCGCCCTAGCTAACAAGATGATTTAAACAGACAACCATATTATGTACTAAAAATGTAAAATTTCACACAAAGATTAGGAACAAATATATTATGTTCATAAAAAAAAATCAAAAGGTAAAAATATCTAAGGCTAACTTAAATATACAAACCATCACATAAAATATTTAAGGCTTGAGAAATCACTACTATAGTAACCAACAAGGTGATTTAAATGAGAATGCATCATAAATCATAAAAATATGAAATTTAATAGATGTATTGGAGATAAGTAGATTATGTTCATACAAAAAAATAGAAGGTAAAAGCATCAAGGGTTGTAGCAAAAATGTAACACAAAGCAAGTAGCTATTTTTAGTCGAAGCATCTATACCTGTAGTAGCCAACAAAAGAACTTAAATTAAAAATCATCCTACAACATAAAAATATAAAATTCCATAAATTTAACATGGACAAGTATCTAGTGTTCATAAAAAAAATATATTCAAAACATAAAAACACTCAAGGCCGTGCTAAACATTTGAAACATGATAGTTGCAATTTTTTTACTAGAATGACTACCACTACGAGTGACCAACAAGGTGATTTAAATGAGAACCGATCCTAAATCCCGAAGATCCAAAATTTAAAAAAAAGATTAAAGACATATTGATGGTTTTATTTCAAAAGTAAATAAATAAATAAATAATAAAAAACATCTAGAAGTGTGCCAAACACGCAAAACACAACTAACATCTATATTCATTATGATTTAGGTTGACTATAAGATTTATTGGCATCAATGGACATCCAAATGCATTTCTACCTACTAAGGTTGAAAAGGAGTGAATTGAAATGAGTGGAGGATTACCTATTAAAGTTAAATAATCATTAAGAAGCTCAAAGTTGAGAGATTAGTTTGTTTCCAAACTTGTCGAGATGTTTGGATGGTGTTTTCTCCTTTTCTTTTCCTTTGTTCTTCCATTTTCCTCTTCAAGCTCTTCTTTTTCTTCCACAAACCCTTTTTTCTCTTTGTGATTTTGTCTTTCTCTCTTTTCTCTCTTGCTTTCACTCTTTTCTCTTAAAAAAACATAGCCACCCTTAAAAAATGCTATTCCTTTCTTTCTCTCTCATTTCTCTTGGTTTTTATCATATCTTAGCTTCTTTCTCCACCCTTAGACCATTCACTCTTAATCTCATCCCTTCCCTTTTAATGAGTATAGGACACTTGGCCTTGTCCCCTTATCCTCTCTCATGTGCATGCTATTTTATGTGTTGTCCTTACAAGGTTAGGAATGGAGGAAATCAAGGGATGTTAAAGACAAATTTTGCTCTCTTGTTTTTTTTTTTTTTTTTTTTTTGGGTGTTGGAGAGATAAGGTTGATGTATGAGGTATGGATGTGGATAAGGATTCCAACAAAGTTAGAAGAAAGAGATGAGGTATGGTTTTTAAGAGGTTAAAAATAGTCCCCATATTCGTAATCTTTTTCCATTTTAGTCTCATTGCTCTTTAATTTTTCTATAATCAAGTCCTTTTGTTTAGAGCATTTTGGTCCCTCTTGTTCTAATTTCTATGAATTGACGCTCAATTACTCTTGATTATTTCCCCAATGTTTCTATTATTTCCTAATTGAGCCACATAACTTTTAAATTATTCACAATTAAAACCCTTAATAAAAATGCAAAATTAATTCTATTTTCGTTTCTTTTTTCATTTTTTTTCGTGTTTTCTTCTTCTCTTTTTTTATATATTTACTCTCTCTCTCTCTCTCTCTCTCTCTCTCTCTCTCTCTCTTGTATTTACAACAAAACGATAAATATAATTAAACCAAAATTAAAATCCAATGATAAAATAAAATTAATAATAATACAATTAAATTTCATGGGAAACCTACACTATATAAATAAAAAGAAAGATCTAAAATAATTATGGGAGGTCAAAATTGGATTATGACAACTTTTATAGAGAAAGTAGTTTCATAACGAGTTAAGATTGTGGAAATGAATTGCGCTATCCATTACAAAGGTTAAACACATTGCTCTTACTGAACATGCAAAGAGTTACTTATGGGCAAAAAACTTCTTAAATAAACTCGGACTAAAACAAGAGAACTTTAAGCCGCTTAGCAATAGCTAGAGTGCAATCAATCTCAACAAGTATCTTACTTTTCATTCTAAAGCGAAGCACATTAAGGTCGGATACCAATGGATTTGAGATGCTACAAAGATAAAATTTTTCGTTATTGAGAAGACTTATGCCGACAAGAATTGATTAGATATGATGACGAAGCCTTTATCGAAAAAAATAATGGAGTTACACAAAAGACAAGTACGCTTGGTGGAGCCCTCTAAATGAGTCGAAGGAGGAGAATTGTTGAGTTAGATCCCTCCTTATTTAGGGCTCAAAACCCAAGTAAACTAAATAAGAAAAACGAATTATACAAAATTACAAAAAAAAAAAAAAAAAAAAGAAAAAGAAAAGAAAAGAAAAGAAAAGAAACGAAAAAAAAAACAAAAAAAAAAAAAAACAAAGGATTTCCTAAACTAAAACTCATTTATGTGATTTAATTTATAAAAAGCCAATTTGGCTTGTTGGTAACTACTAATAGTAACAAAAGATAAAGGGAAAAAAGGAGAATGCAATCAAGAAGGAGAAGAAAAGTTTTCTTTTTATCGTTATTGTTTTGACCGGACGATGATTTTAAACACGATTGAGATGAAATTTAATATGTTATTTTGAATGACGAACTCTTTGGCTTTAAGGATTTTAGTTGTTGAGAAGTTTTCACCTTTAGGTGTGTTTTAAAATTCTATTTGGTAGATCTAGTCTAGTTTTTTATTATTATTTTTGGAATCCATTTTTGTGATGATGACTTTAATGTTTTGATGTATATTTTTTGATATAATGGAAGAGTTTAAATAGAATACGGTCTTGTGGTTTCTTTCATATTAGGGTTTCTACGTAAAAAAAATTAGTGTGTTGATTGTGGTTGTGTTATTTATTTTTGCATTAATTATTATTGCTTGGTTGATCCTAATTTTAATTGTACAAAAAGGAAAAAAGTATTGAAATATCTGATTTATGATTTTAGTTGGTACAAGTGCCTTTTTTCAATATTAATGTTGCTTTCTTTTGTTGCATCTTCTTACGGAATGCATTGACTCATTTTATTCATTATTCAATCATACTTAACGTTCGATAAGAAGTTGGATGTTTAATTGAAGTGGTAAATTAGGATAATAATATGCAAGTACTTGTCTATTGGGTTTCTTATAACAATGTTTTTGCGCCTCTTGTCATATTGCTCTTGTTCTTGGCCAACGGGGAGGAATACTTGCACCCGTTTGTGCTTGAAACAGAGGTCTATCAAGCAATTGAGACCAACGCATTATAAGTTCGTAAATCAATCTTGCCCACTACTATATCGAAAATTTTGGCATGTTCACTTCCAAAAACTATGTCTAAAAATGTGAGATTCCAAGAACAAATGCCAAGGATTGTCATATGAATTTCAGAAGTCTTATGCTGTCTCACATCAATGATGATGAATAAAATTTTCAAATTTCTTGATTGCACATGATTAGCAACAACAACTGAATGAGACAATTCCATCACCAAAATTTCCTGTCATCTTATAACTTGAAAGCTGTTAGCAACATTTGAAAATTTACAAATTAACCTTGTAAAGATGCTGCTAACATGAAAATCACACGTTCGATGCTTGTCTTTCGTACTCTAATTGTTGTAAGTTTCTTTCCCTACCAGCAAACCATTGTATTGTTCGCCGTGCTATAGGCAGCCAAAGCATTCTGAGTCTCTCATCTTTTCCACTATTCCCAGGGGATGCAGAGTCTTTTGCTTTGTTCTTTACACTTAGCTGTCTGAACCTTGAAAGAATTGTGATCTCAGACATTGATCTCTTCCCCACCGGATTAAGCATTTTTGAAGAATTTAAGCTTGAACTTGGAACAGAATTACTTCTGTCAACTGTAGTAAACTTGGACTCGAACAATCTCTTTCTTTCTATATCCTCCTTAATCTTTTCTAAATTTTCATTCCTGGACAACCCGTTGTAGAATCTTGCGCTACTTGATTTCGAAGGAGAAAATCTGTTGCTTGACATGACTCTAAGCATCTCAGTGTTCAAGGACAAAAAATCTGAAGAATTAACATCGCTCCATCGATTCTTGATAAGAACATCCGAAATAATGATCTTGTGCTTGAATTTATGCAAGAATTTCGTGTTATCATCAGCATTACTACCTGCTTGAATCAGCAACTTTTCTTTTTTTCCTTTGTTATTGCTAATTTGAAAGCTGCTTCCTTGGTTAGACCATGATGAACCTCGATGATCGTGCTCTCTTTCGACAAAGATATCAAGATTAGGATCCTCTGATAGATTTGAAGGACTTTGCAAGTACCTCCAACTTTTTGAGTAAGTGAAGCTCCTAAGGTCTTTAGGATCTAACTTGTACCTGCAAAGAGGACAGCTAGAGTGACTTTTCAGCCATTGGTCGATGCAGTTCTTGTGAAATGCATGCTTGCACCCAGGCAAAAGTCTGAGAACCTCAGAATCTTCGAACTTTGATATGCAAACTGCACATTCCAGGCCTTCTTTTGAGCCCTTAAGTGAAGAAAACTGGAAGAAAGGCAGGGAATTGATCAGTTCTTCATCGATCCCTGAAAATCTAGACCTTGATCGAATAAGTCCATGAAAATTCTGGTGATGGGGATTACGGCCTAATAAATTATTTCGGTTTCTCCCGCAGTATTTTGCATAGGCAAGTATGAGAAATGTTATAGACAGCATGATCGACATGATGCCCAGGACTATTGCAAGGTTTGGATGTAGTGGTTTGAGGATACCCCTATCTGAACCCGAAGTGATTTGGGCTTTGACATGGAAGAACAAACTAAGAATTATGATGAGGAGTAACTGATTCATAGAGACAGGCACACTCTATGCTGTCAAAGTTTCTGTATATAATTCCTATGCTTCTTCAGTGGCATTCTGAAGGAAAAATGTTTCTTGTGAAAGAATCTATTAAACTCCAAAAACATAAGATACCATTTTTCTATTTTATCAAGATGATTTTTGTTCTTTTGATGTCTAATTCTGGTTTGTCGATTGAGGCTGTCTTCGTGTGCCGCATTTGATAGACAAGTTTCAATAGTTTATCTGATTGTCGTGTCCGACGGCAAAATGTAATTTAGAATTGGTACCTTGTCCTATAAGGAGATGGCGGCCTGCATATGGTCCTGATGACACTAGCGAAAACTAGTTAAAGTTTGTTAAAGAGGGAAAGGTTGACAAGAACCACTTTGGCCTGCCTCCACATTGCAATTGAAAGACTTGCAGGCCAAATTAGATTACAATATTTTCTTTTTCTTCCCACTTAAGTCCCTGTCTGCTCGGATAGAAATTTAAAAAAAAAAAAAATTTAGAGAGACAATTTAAATAGATTTAGCGGTTAATTAGCACAAAGAAGTAGCAAAAGAGACATGTTTGAGCAGGTTTTTATTTGGTCATCACTCACTCCATATTTACAAATGACCATTGGCATTGCTGTGGCTAAATAGACTGGTGAACATTAGTTATTTGCTTGTTATAAGAAAAGGCGAGAACAGTTTCAGGATTACTTTCAGTGACATTGAAACCGATCCTTAATGAATGATGACGATAACATTCTCTTTTCAGTTCTCACTACTAGTTAAGTGCCAAACTAATCGAACAGCAATTTTCGATTAACTACTTGTTGATTTTTCCGACAACACATCTGTTAATCTATTTAGAAAAAAATCTCCTGTTGCTCAGGACAGCAGGAGTTCCTCCAATCCAATGGTAAGTAGCCATATTGCTATGTGTAGATATATTTAATTATTTAGCCAAAAAAAAAAAAAAAAAAAGGTTGCCATGATTAAAAAACAAGAAAGTTTTGCAATGGAAACGGAAAAACTAAAGAAGAAAAGAGACATGATATTTAATAACTTTAATTATTTGCTTAATAATTGATTTTTTTTTTACCTTAGGTTAAAGGAATTCCTGCTGTCTAGGGGAGCGGGAAATTTTTAAGTTTACTGTTCTATTTAGTTATTTTTTTATTTTTTTTATAAAATAACTCCGCTTTGCTGTCTTTTCTTTGGGTGTATATATATATATATATATATATATATATATATAGAGAGAGAGAGAGAGAGAGAGAGAGAGAGAGAGAGAGAGAGAGAGAGAGGGAGAGGGAGAGAGAGAGAGATTGTTGTTCTGTTTTTGTTTAAAAAATCTCAATTCAGTTCCAAATTATAAACTCTTTCTCAATTGCATTCCAAACCTATACATTTTATCAATCAAGTCCTAAACGTTTTCTACTTTCTCTTCGTCCATGTCCTCTTATCAAATTTTTTATTAGTTTATGTCTAATGTGCATTTTTTATATACTAAAAAAATGTTGATTAAAAAAAAACAAATTGATAGAAAAGTTTATTAACATTAACATTTTCTATCTAATGTGTATATTTATGCACTAAAAAAAAACATTAATTTAAAGAAAATTTGACAAAAATATTGATGAACATTAACAATGGAGAATTTTTTAAAATGTTTCAAAATTTTTTTTTATAGATTTGGGAGTCAATTGAGAATAAGTATATATATTTGGGACTAAATTGAGTTTCTCCCCCACCCTCCTTTTTTTAATAAAAAATATTGGATACCCATATGAGTGGTAAATATTTTATATTGAAAAAGAATGAGAAAAAAATATTAATAAATAAGATAAATTCATAACCCATTATTCTAGATTTTTACATTAAAATAAAGTTCATCCTTAAACATAAACTTGAAGCGCAATTATTTATATTAATTAGTTAAAAAAAAGTGTAGTACAAAATAATTCCAAAATTACAACCAGACAATGGATTCCTTATTCCTTTAAGACTTTCTTTAGCTAAAAAGTATCCGGTGTTACTTTCTCTAGGGACATGACTCGAAGGATAGGGGTGTTCGTTCGGTAATTTAGTTCGGTTTCGAACTTTTTTGATCGATTTTTGGTTAACCAAATTGCCTAAAAAATAACCAAAACCGAACCGAATTATTATTCATTTTTTTTATTCGGTTTTGAAATATATCGGTTTTTTTATTCGGTAATTCGATTTTCACTCGTAATTATCTATACTTTTGATTTTTGAAAGGATCATGCACTTTCGCAAAAATAAATTTAGTATTTGCATTACGATTTTTAGGCTATGTTCCTATATGTATACGTTTTTCAATCTCATTGAACTCTGTCTATTTATTATTATTTTACTACTCCTTAATAGGCAGTACTAATATAATATCAATTGATATATATATATATATATATATATATATATATATATATATATATATATATATATATATATATATATAATACGAGATGTCATCATTATCATATAAAGTCTAATAGTATATAATAGATGTTATTGTCTATCAGTATCGGTAAATAATACCGTCAAATATGTGTTACAATTAAGACATTTTAACAATTCCTTCTAAAAAGAAACAGAGCATGCTTTGAAGCTCAAGTATAATCGACTTATTTGTCTTTATGAAAGACACTTTTAATTAACTTGACGTAATTAGAACTAATAATTTTGGGTAACTTATTAAACACTACGACCATAAGCTAACCTTTGCTAATTAAATGGCAATGTTGTTTTTGAACAATGAAGAACATTAAAACTTTAAACACTCAATTTTCTTTAGTGCAATTTTAAATTATATGTGTTTACTAAAAAGAGACATACTAATTATTATCAAGATCCATAAATTAACTAGTTTTCTTTCACATAGAAAAAAAAACACCATCTCACATCTTTTTTTTAAAAACAACTATAAATTGAATCAAGAAAGAAATTATGTACCTCCTTGGGCAATTATAAACAAGAATTGGTTATGGTCATTTGACGTTAGACTAGTTGGCTCATGTAATCAATGCAACAAGAATTGGTTATGAGCTAATTGATTTAACTCTAATTAGCTTAGGTTTACATGAGGGTGAGGTGAGGGTGTAAGGATTGGAATGAACGACGTCGTTCATTGATGAATTTAAAAAAAAAATTAATAATTTTGGTTATTTGGTTTTAATCGAATTAAAAAAAAAACCAAAACTCGAAATAAAAAACCGGCTATATTTCGGTTCGATTTTTTTTTTTTAGTTTCTAAAAAAACCGCACCAAAATTGATATTTTGGTGCGGTTCGATTCGGTTATTCGGTTTTCACCGAATAGTGAACACCCCTACCGAAGGAGACAGAGTTTAAAGCCTTGATCATTATCGAGATGCAATTGTTTATGCAGCTTTTTGGTTCATCCAGGTAATAGCATTTAGAATCAGATTTTACTATCCATTTCACTTGATTAGGAAAGAGAGAAGCACTAATGCTTGCTTGATCGCAAGCTCCTATACAGCTATGCTTCACTCGATCCTTTAAAACTAGTAGCTTGCGAGAGCGAGAAAAACAACATGAGATTCTACCCTCATCATCTCGTAAGACCCCTCTCGTTCTCGGTAAGCTCGGCTTTCCCAATGAAGCTCATCGGTATTCCATTACAAATAACCATTAGGTGGTTTGATCAAGTCATTGGTAGGTCAAGCTTTGACCATGTTAGGCCATAATTTCACTCCATCCGCACTTCTTTCAAGGTCATAATGTTAAGCTATGGAGATTAATACGGATGTCCTCTCCCTATATTTAAATTTTATGTTGTCTTCAATGTAAAACACATAACCATCAATAATCATGAACATATAAAATTAAAAGAGATAAGGTAAGAGAATAAATCCGGACGTGACTTTTTAGCCACTCTTAGGTTACCTCTCAAACATCGCATTTGTTTAACATTGTTAGCCCAATGTAGAAAGAGCTTAATTCTTATCCATTTTCATGTTGTATTGCTTGATCATCCAAAAAACCTTTTGCTCAATCTCTATTTCCATTGCTATTGTCACCGTCATTCGTCGCTATTAGTGGTTTCACAGCCTATTAATGCAAATTATGTCACCATCGACCTTCATGGTAAGGGTACATTTCCCAACATTCATGTTGGTTTAGGCTTTAAAAAGGTCGTCCTAGGAGGATTGAAGGTAAATTTGATAAATTTTCTCCCTCCATACTAGCACATAGATATCTACGGGAAAAACTAACCCATTGATCTGCAAAGAAAACATCCTTTACAATCACTTCATGGTAGTCATTAGATCTATCTACTAATTGAATTATAACATCAGTTTCTTTTAATGCTTCAAATTTAGAGAAGCATAAATTAAATATGGCATTACATTAATTGAAACTCCTAAATCTAACATGGCTTTTTCAAACCTACTTTTGCCTATCACATAAGAAATTAAAAATGTATCTAGATCTTTCTACTTTGGAGAAAGTTTTCTTTGAGTAATTGTAGACACATTCTCTCTCATACTTACCTTTTCATTTCCTTTTAGCTTGCATTTGAAAATGAACAACTCTTGGCATACCTCAAAACTTGCTTAATCGCATTAATTATAGGTATGTTCACCTTAACCTTTCGAAACATCTTTAAAATCTCCTTATCTTGGTTATTTTTCTTTGACTTAGCAAATCTACTAGAAAAAAAGAGTTAAAGTATTATCCAAATCTTTATTTATAGAGATTGGAGAACTTACCTTGGCTTTAATTTCGGGCTCTTTGGAAGCAAGTTCCATTTCAATCTCTTCATCATCCACCACTAGAGGAGTCTTACATTGTGCCTCTATTTCTATGACACTTCTCAAAGTGATTGCACTTATAGTTTCTTTTGGGTTCACAATCATTTGATATGGTAACCTCCCTCCTTCAATTCTAGCTTCATTCTACTAACAACGGTGGCAATCTAACTTATTTGAGTCTCTAAGTTCTAAATGTTAGCTCTAGTTTGCTATTGTAATTACAT